TGACTCCTCTAAAAGACAGATTACTTTAATATTAGGCAGAACAAGACCACATGACTACCAACAACTGATTCCTCTAAAAGACAGATTACTATAATATTAGGCAGAACAAGACCACATGACTACCAACAACTGATTCCTCTAAATGACAGATTACCACCAACAACTGATTCCTCTAACAGACAGATTACTATAATATTAGGCAGAACAAGACCACATGACCACCGACAACTGACTCCTCTAAAAGACAGATTACTATAATATTAGGCAGAACAAGACCACATGACTACCAACAACTGACTCCTCTAAATGACAGATTACTATAATATTAGGCAGAACAAGACCACATGACCACCAACAACTGATTCCTCTAAAAGACAGATTACTATAATATTAGGCAGAACAAGACCACATGACCACCGACAACTGACTCCTCTAAAAGACAGATTACTATAATATTAGGCAGAACAAGACCACATGACTACCGACAACTGATTCCTCTAAAAGACAGATTACTATAATATTAGGCAGAAAAAGACCACATGACTACCAACAACTGACTCCTCTAAAAGACAGATTACTGTAATATTAGGCAGAACAAGACCACATGACCACCGACAACTGACTCCTCTAAAAGACAGATTACTGTAATATTAGGCAGAACAAGACCACATGACTACCAACAACTGATTCCTTTAAAAGACAGATTACTATAATATTAGGCAGAACAAGACCACAAGACTACCAACAACTGATTCCTCTAAATGACAGATTACTTTAATATTAGGCAGAACAAGACCACATGACTACCAACAACTGATTCCTCTAAAAGACAGATTACTATAATATTAGGCAGAACAAGACCACATGACTACCGACAACTGATTCCTCTAAAAGACAGATTACTATAATATTAGGCAGAACAAGACCACATGACTACCGACAACTGACTCCTCTAAATGACAGATTACTATAATATTAGGCAGAACAAGACCACTTGACCACAGACAACTGACTCCTCTAAAAGACAGATTACTGTAATATTAGGCAGAACAAGACCACATGACTACCAACAACTGACTCCTCTAAAAGACAGATTACTGTAATATTAGGCAGAACAAGACCACATGACCACCGACAACTGACTCCTCTAAATGACAGATTACTATAATATTAGGCAGAACAAGACCACATGACCACCGACAACTGATTCCTCTAAATGACAGATTACTATAATATTAGGCAGAACAAGACCACATGACCACCGACAACTGACTCCTCTAAAAGACAGATTACTATAATATTAGACAGAACAAGACCACATGACTACCAACAACTGACTCCTCTAAATGACAGATTACTATAATATTAGGCAGAACAAGACCACATGACTACCAACAACTGACTCCTCTAAAAGACAGATTACTATAATATTAGGCAGAACAAGACCACATGACTACCAACAACTGACTCCTCTAAATGACAGATTACTATAATATTAGGCAGAACAAGACCACATGACCACCAACAACTGATTCCTCTAACAGACAGATTACTATAATATTAGGCAGAACAATACCACATGACCACCGACAACTGACTCCTCTAAAAGACAGATTACTATAATATTAGGCAGAACAAGACCACATGACTACCAACAACTGATTCCTCTAACAGACAGATTACTATAATATTAGGCAGAACAAGACCACAAGACTACCAACAACTGATTCCTCTAAAAGACAGATTACTATAATATTAGGCAGAACAAGACCACAAGACTACCAACAACTGATTCCTCTAACACACAGATTACTATAATATTAGGCAGAACAAGACCACATGACTACCAACAACTGACTCCTCTAAATGACAGATTACTATAATATTAGGCAGAACAAGACCACATGACTACCAACAACTGATCCCTCTAAAAGACAGATTACTATAATATTACGCAGAACAAGACCACAAGACTACCAACAACTGATTCCTCTAAAAGACAGATTACTATAATATTAGGCAGAACAAGACCACATGACCACCAACAACTGACTCCTCTAAATGACAGATTACTATAATATTAGGCAGAACAAGACCACATGACTACCAACAACTGGTTCCTCTAACAGACAGACCATATCGGATTCAGTGTTTTAAATTAAAGTGTTCGGAAGCAATTTTGTTTTTATTGGGTTTAGTGACTCTCACTAAGAATTCACTGTATAATAAACAAAATACTCACTTAATAACTTATTGTCATACCATTGGAATCAAAATAACAACACCTCACAAGAAACTTTACAGCCATACCTTTTTCCCCTCCTCATGAAGATTTTGTTTACTTATTTCCCATAGAAGACAATGCAATCTAAGTGATTGGTCAATTACCACCAAATTTCATGCTAAATAAATGAAGAATGTGTCTGAGGACACGAATGCCCTGCTCAAGCTTGCTTGTAATATGTGAAAATACTTTTTGAGAGCATTTGATGTCACTTCTAGTTTTTACAGAGTTCTAGTTTTAGATATTTTTGTGCTGTGTATTATTTTCATATTTTCTCTGTTTTGTTTTTATTTCTTATGTAATAAGTTTACTGATAAAATCTGTTGTGTCCATTGAATTTCTCAATCCTTGAACAATGCTTTGGTTCTTTTACATCTAATCTATTTGTTAGCTTTACAAGTTTATCCTGTGAATGTCTTATAGCCGTCAGGCAAGTTCAACATTAAATATGTTAAACTTGTTGTTAAAGAGTCCAGGAACGAAATATCTGAGCATTGTGCTTAGCGAATCACTGCCCAAATTCAAGATCTGTTTCCAAGTTTTGGTTCTTAGCACTATGTATGGGTTTCAAAAAATTTTCATGAGGCAAACTTAAGTTAATGGGGAAACGAAAAAATTTGCAATTTTCCAAGATATAAAGGAACATTTCTCTAGAACGATAAATGACTCAATGCCCAAATTTGTACTTTGTATGCAAGTTGTGGTACTTAACATTGTGAATGAGTTTCATAAAATTTGCAAGAGGCAAACTTAAGACAGAGTGCGGAAACGAAAATGAGATGGACAGACGGACGGACAGTCAAGATAAACACTTAATGCCCCCTACGTTAGCATAAACAAACTTTGACCTTTCTGTCATATCTGGGTTCAAGTTGTGTAAAGCAGTTACAAGAAAAAGATCTTTGAAGTTTTAACCAATCAAAGAAGCCTATGTTTGGTTATTAAAGACTATATCATGTCAACTGATCAAAACTACAGTAATATAACTTTGTACTGTTAACCAAAGGAACTTCCTTGCCAACTTTTTGTCCCCATCTGCTTGATGCAGATAGAAAAAGTGTTTATAACTTACATAAGACATGAAACCAATAAATTTCAAAAGATCTTATTGACAACAGCCATGTTATCTACAAATTAAAAAAATTGGTGAATATACAACGTAAAATTATCAATTTTGGGTGTTTAAAGAAAGCATTTAACAGCACAATTTTCTTACAAATTTGATTAAATGGTATGTGAAAATCCCTTTAATGCAATAAACATTAAAAATAAAATAAGTTTTGCTATTAATTTTACATTAAATGAAGAAAAGACTTTGATGAAAAGCTTTAAACATGTAGGCTCTTGACATTCCCTCTAATGTTAAAACTACTTTTGAAACCTGTGACTGAACACAAAAGGCTCTTTTTCAACAACAACAACAAAATCACAAAAGTATCCATTTTCCCAGGCAATTACAGACAATGTGACAACTCAAAGACTAGTACACTATTTGCATATATATGTATATATTGTTTTATAAAGACTCTTCTATACATATACAATATTATCTACATGCTTGTTGAAGTTTGTTCTGGAACCTCAAATAAAAACATCACAACTAATAGAAGGACACATCAGGATTGTTGATGAAATTAAATATCAATTATGATTTTTAAGTATCTTTAAACTCATACATTTCCATTTAAGAAATTTTCCATTTCTTTCAAAAAGATATTAAATTTGTTCATTTTATTTAATGATTTGCTCACAGATAAAGTAAATATGTTAAAGGACAATATCTAAAGAATTATGTTCATTTTATCTTTCCTGTAATTTAATGGATTTAATTCACCATTTCACTAACTTGATTTATTCACGGCTTCTGATATGTTTGATTTCCTACATTTTAATTTAATTTTAAAAGCATTTTTATTGAATTATCCTTGAGATTCTCGACTATTTGCTTTCAGTGTAACAGAAATAATGAAAATAAGTCACAATATAAGGTTATTTATACATATAGAGTATTTACAGTATCTAAATATTACAACATTTTAGAACTGCATGCAAGATATTCAAAATATGTATGAACAACTAAATCAAATTTTGAAATGCAAGTTTTGCATACAGAAATGATATTGTTTCTTGGTTGCTTATAAATTTACATCAATATATATGTGGCACAGATTTAGTCAAAATTATAGTATTTAAGGAGCTCTCGAAATATTTCGGGACCTCCATAATTCCATTTCAGGATATCCTTTAATCATTAAGGACCTCCATAATTCAATTTCAGGATATCCTGCGTCATTTCAGGCCCTCAGTAATTGGAAATCGAACTGTGGAGGTCTTAAAATTAATCAAGACATCCTGAAATATTTCAGGAGGTACTCAATGATTGAAGGATATCCTGAAATATTTCAGGATCTCCATAAATACTAAAATTTTGACTAAATCTGTTCCTCATAAAAATATTACACCAATTGATATCTAGCATATGAACAGATTCCAGTTTCAACTACTTGTTCTCAGAAAATATGATTATGAATAAAATGGGATATGGGATACATGTAAATGACAAAGCCTTAAGAATAAAAATAATCCCCAAACCTACCCATATTTTCAGGCATTCAAGCATATTTTTTATTTTCATTTTGAGCCGAACACTTTCTTGTTTTTGTTGAGACTTTCTGGAAACAGGTATTTGATTATTTAGCCTTATAGAAAATCTTACCACAAATATGTGTTTCTTTCTGGCTGGAGCTAATATTTCTGTTCTTACTCTCCATTTTACTGGGTTAATGGAGTTCAACACAATTATCAATGGTTCCCAAAGAACTGGAAAAAATATCATCAATTATACAAGAGTCCATTGATACCAACACTGATATCTATCTTTAGAAGCTGATTAGTACAAAACAATATAATGTTAAAAAGTATACATTGATTTCAACTGATTTTAGAATACTGTGACCCTGAAATTGAAACCATTAAGAAACTAGATTTAATCGAAACACAACAGTATATGCCAGTATCAAGTCTGAATCTATGAGGGCCAATATTCATCAAATGTGTAAACCCTGCAACATTCTTTATGTGCCTGTTCCAAGCCAGGAACCTGTTATCCAGTGGTGGTTGCTGGTAGCTGTCTGCCATATTTTGTTGTTATTCTTTTTTGTAGTACAAATGTATACATCAGGTCATTGTATACATCAGGTCGTTGGTATTCTCTTTTGTAGTACAAATGTATACATCAGGTCGTTGGTATTCTCTTTTGTAGTACAAATGTATACATCAGGCCGTTTGTATACTCTTTTGTAGTACAAATGTATACATCAGGTCATTGGTATTCTCTTTTGTAGTACAAATGTATACATCAGGTCATTGGTATTCTCTTTTGTAGTACAAATGTATACATCAGGTCATTGGTATTCTCTTTTCAATTGTTTTACATATTGTCATACAGGGACCTTTTATAGCTGACTATACAGTATGGGTTTTGTATGGTTGAAGGCAGTGCAATGAACAGTAATGATTCACATCTTTGTCCATTGGTCTGTATGTATACTTGTGTCTTGACAAACATAGTCCGTGTCTCCTTATCTTTATATGTGTGTATACTTGTGTCTTGACAAACATAGTCCACATCTCCTTTTTGTATACATGTTATATGTGTGTATACTTGTGTCTTGACAAACATAGTCCCTCCTTATCTTTATATGTATGTATACTTGTGTCTTGACAAACATAGTCCATGTCTCCTTATCTTTATATGCGTGTATACTTGTGTCTTGACAAACATAGTCCACATCTCCTTATTTTATATGTATGTATACTTATGTCTTGACAATCATAGTCCATGTCTCCTTATCTTTATATGTGTGTATACTTGTGTCTTGACAAACATAGTCCACATCTCCTTATTTTATATAAAATTGAGAATGGAAATGGGGAATGTGTCAAAGAGACAACAACCCGACCATAGAGCAGACAACCTTATCTTTATATGTATGTATACTTGTGTCTTGACAAACATAGTCCATGTCTCCTTATCTTTATATGTGTGTATACTTGTGTCTTGACAAACATAGTCCACATCTACTTATTTCATATGTATGTATACTTGTGTCTTGACAATCATAGTCCATGTCTCCTTATCTTTATATGTGTGTATACTTGTGTCTTGACAAACATAGTCCACATCTCCTTATTTTATATGTATGTATACTTGTGTCTTGACAATCATAGTCCATGTCTCCTTATCTTTATATGTGTGTATACTTGTGTCTTGACAAACATAGTCCACATCTCCTTATTTTATATGTATGTATACTTGTCTCTTGACAATCATAGTCCACATCTCCTTATCTTTATATGTGTGTATACTTTTGTCTTGACAAACATAGTCCACATCTCCTTATTTTATACATGTTATATGTGTGTATACTTGTGTCCTGACAAACATAGTCCACGTCTCCTTATTTTATACTTGTTATATGTGTGTATACTTGTGTCTTGACAAACATAGTCCACGTCTCCTTATTTTATACATGTTATATGTGTGTATACTTATGTCTTGACAAACATAGTCCACATCTCCTTATTTTATACATGTTATATGCGTGTATACTTGTGTCTTGACAAACATAGTCCACGTCTCTTTATTTTATACATGTTATATGTGTGTATACTTGTGTCTTGACAATCATAGTTCACATCTCCTTTTCTTTATATGTGTGTATACTTGTGTCTTGACAATCATAGTTCACATCTCCTTATATTTATATGTGTGTATACTTGTGTCTTGACAATAATAGTTCACTTCTCCTTATCTTTATATACATTGACATTTAAATTTGATGCCTTATTTCACAGTTTCAGTTTTTCATTTATTAGCTTCTGATGCAGGGAAATTTTGAGCTTGAATTAGTTCCCTATTTGTAGATGTTATCTAGATATTCCATTTTTTAATTCCTTATCTTTTTGGTTTTCTGTCAAAGTAATATTTGCATGATGTACTTTTACTCATGTCAACTGTAACTGAAATGATCCTTGTTGGGCCAAATTTGTACATAAATGTCAAAATTAGCCAATTTCCATTGTCTTTTCGACCTAAACATATTGTATATATGTTGACATACAAGATCTTTTACAATATTTTTATTTTAACAAATAACCTATCGCACTTAAATTTGCAGAAATGATAACCGATTATAAGGAACGCTTGACAAAAATTGTCTTATTTCACTTGGCCATATAAGACCCTTACCGGTGCAGTGCCAAATTAACTCCTTTACAACAAACTATGTCATTCTAGGTGAAATATGTCAATTAAGACATGTTTATGACAAGTTGGTGACATCACAACTGACATTTTAGCACTAATGTGTTATTCTATTCCTTTATTTAATAGGTTAACATAATTATGAAAGGAATGATGAATCCTACTATTTTTTTAATTTCAAGGTCTAGATATTGGTTGTTGCTTTACCTCTTTATTTTGTACCTAGAATATAATATCAAATATCAGTATTTCTAATAACATTCCAAACAGATGTATGATTAGAGGCATTGTTTGATCCATAAAATTACAAAATTGTAAAAATTTTCAATCCTTTCAAAATTCTCTTTTTTTTATAAATTAACAGCTTGATGTTGGTGTAGTCACTTTAGAGGGGGTAGGACCTTTATCGGGACTCAAGATCGGGTGTTTTTAAGCTCGGGATTTCGGGATTGATCCTTTCGGGATCCGGGAATTCTTTTTTCGAATTTCGTGATGTCCGGATTTAAATTTTTTTAAATTCAGGACCTCTGGATTCCATGTTTTTAAGCCCAGGAATTCGGAATCAGGACCCCTCCTACCCCCCTCACTTTATTGCAGAAATGGAAGTACTAATGTCATAAACATGTAAAAACTTACCTTATTTGGAAATATTTACATAGTTCTATTAAAAAATAATTTAAATCAGCAACAGTTTTACTTCAAAATATCCATTACTCACATCAACATTTTAATTTAGAGCAGATTGTGCAAGGCTGCTGTGCTCATTTCTAATTCTGAACAACCAGATCTAATTTTAAAGTTTGTTGGAAGTATTGCAATTTTTGCTTTCAAAAGCGGAAGAAGAGAATGAGTAAAACAAATATGAAGTTAAAATTAAAAAAAAAAATATTATCTGACTGAACATCTGGAGGATTAAAACTTTATGATTTTCAAATTCAAGGGCATACAAGAGAAGCCTTAGCATATCTTCTCCTTACTTATAAAATCTACAACATTCAATGAATAAAGTAAATGTACTCTTTTTTCAAATTACCTTCATCATTTCTTGACTTAACAAAAAGGTGGACCTCTGCCACTTCATTTCTATACACTGCCACGCTTTTCTTCAAATTAATCACATGAACTTCCTGGTTGGTCTTGGTGGTCACGTTTGTCACACATCCTATCCCAATGATCGGCTGTTTGTAAAACACTGATATGTGTGGGTTGGTAAATGGAAGTTCTATCTGACAAGGTAAGGCAGATGAAGTTTGACCTATAAATTATAAAACAATGTTTTTAATCAAATTGTTGAGTGGAATAATTTAAAATAAAATGCTTCGCTGGGGCGCAGCTTGATACGACCGCAGAGGTCGAACCCTGAACAGTTGGGGCAAGTATGGACACAACATTCAAGCTTGATACAGCTCTGAATTTGGATTGTTATTAAATATTTGACACAGCATAGGTTTCTGACACAGAAAGAATGTGGTCTAAGAACTTGAATTTTTTTAATTTACCTATTATGGTCCAATGTCCAAAATCAAAATACATGGTTAGATTCAGCATATCAAAGAACCCCATATATTCAATTTTTGTTAAAATCAAACAAAGTTTAATTTTGGACCCCAACTTGGACAAACTTGAAAACTGGTCCCATAATCAAAAATCTAAACACATGTTTAGATTCAGCATATCAAAGAACCCCAATAATTCAATTTTCGATGAAATCAAACAAAGTTTAATTTTGGACCCTTTTGACCTCAATATGAACCAATTTGATAGCGGGGCCTACAAATAAAAAATCTAAATACATGGTTAGATTCAGCATATCAAAGAACCTCATATATTCAATTTTTGTTGAAATCAAACAAAGTTTAATTTTGGACCCCAATTTGGACCAACTTGAAAACTGGGCCCATAATCAAAAATCTAAATACATGTTTAGATTCAGCATATCAAAGAACCCCATATATTCAATTTTTGTTGAAATCAAACAAAGTTTAAATACTGGACCCTATCTTGGACCAACTTGAAAACTGGGCCAATAATCAAAAATCTAAACACATGTTTAGATTCAGCAAATCAAAGAACCCCAAGAATTCAATTTTTGTTAAAATCAAACTAAGTTTAATTTTGGACCCTTTGGACCTCAATGTAGACCAATTTAAAAAACAGGACCCAAAATTAAAAACCTAAATACACGGTTAGATTTGGAATATCAAAGAACCTCAATAATTCAATTTTAGATGAAATCAAACAAAGTTTAATTTTGGACCCTTTTGACCTCAATATGAACCAATTAGATAACGGGGTCCACAAATAAAAAATCTAAATACATGGTTAGATTCAGCATATCAAAGAACCCCATATATTCAATTTTTGTTGAAATCAAACAAAGTTTAATTTTGGACCCCAATTTGGACCAACTTGAAAACTGGGCCAAAAATCAAAAATCTAAATACATGTTTAGATTCAGCATATCAAAGAACCTCATATATTCAATTTTTGCTAAAATCAAACAAAGTTTAATTTTGGACCCTTTGGACATTAATGTAGACCAATTTGAAAACTGGACCCAAAATTAAAAATCTAAATACACTGTTAGATTCGGCATAACAAATAAATAAATGTGATCAAAGATTTTACAAATCTAATGCGCCATACTGTGCAATTAAAGATTACTTCTTGAAATTTTTCAATATTTGAAATTTGAAAAAAAAAATAATATTTGAAGAATAATTCTTATTAATTTCTGAAATCTGAAATGAGAAAAAATTGGCCCCCCACAATTTCTTTTTATCCCCCCCCCTTTTTCCCCCAAAAAAATTCTTTCCCTCAAGATATGGTCATAATCTCAATTCAAATTTCCAATGGAGTAGGCAACCATAATTACCCATTTAAATTTACCATAGTGCTAACTTAATCTATTTTATAATAGAACCAATAATAATATAGTGTCAAATCTTTCATATGGATTTTTTTGTAAAAAAAAAAGATGAAAACATTTGCAGATATTTTTACTGGTCTTCCTTTATAAATATGCATTTCTTTAAACATAATTTAAAAGCAGTGTAAGGGAAGTAACCAAAACGTTGTATTTGGATTACCTCCCTTACACTGTTTTAGATTATCTTTATTGTTTATTAACCATTACTTTATACATAATTTAAAAGCAGTGTAAGGGAGATAATTTCAATGATGTATTTGATTTATCTCCCTTACACTGCTTTAAATTATGTTTTGTACTAAAGTATTTGTCCATTAACCAGGACAACCTTGTTTTTCCCCCTTTTTTGCCCCTAATTCCTAAACGGTTTGAGCCATAACCCACCAAAGCAAATCCTAACTATCCCTTTGTGGTATGGAAACTTGTAGTATAATTTCAGAGAGATCCATACACCGTTCCACAGTTATTGTCTGGAAACTAGAAAATGCTCATTTTTGGCCCCTTTTTGGCCCCTAATTCCTTAACTGTTGGTACCATAACCCCCAAAATCAATCCCAACCTTCCTTTTGTGGTATTTAACCTTATGGTCAAATTTCAAAAAGATCCATTCACTTAAACTAAAGTTAGAGTGCGAAAACCAATATGTATTCGGACGACGACGCCGGACGACGACGACGACGACGACGACGACGCCAACGTCATACCAATATACGACCACAAAATTTTTTTGCGGTCGTATAAAAAATACGAAGGACTTAGAAGTCATTTTCAATACTTTACCAAAATAAATAACACAAATCTCAAACGTCAAGAGATATCTTCACCAGGTCTTTTGCAAAGTGTTTCTTAATTTACTGACCTTTAAAGCAGTCTGAATAAATTGCTACGCCGAGTGCAGCTGGATACGACTGCAGAGGTCCAACCATGAACAGTTGGGGCAAAAAAGGACACAATATTCGCACTTGATACTTGTGAATTGACCCCCCCCCCAAAAAAAAAATGTTTACCCCCACTTTTTTTGGCAAAAAAAAAAAAATATTTGAAGAAATTTTCTTTTTAATTTCTGAAATCTGAAATGAGAAATAATTGTCCCCCTCCCCTCAAAATTTCTTTCTTATACCCCCCCCCCCTTTTTCCAAAAAAAAAATATGTCTTTCCCTCAAGATATGGTCATAATCTCAATTCAAATTTCCAATGGAGTTTGCAACCATAATTACCCATTTAAATACATCATATAAGTCTTAAAATAGAAAATGACTAATCATGGCTAAAATTAATATTCCTTAATCAGCATTTTTAAATAGTAACTTCTAAAAATAAATTGACAGCTAATCACCTCAAGACAATACAACATTTCTTTATACAAAATTTAAAAGCAGTGTAAGGGAGGAAATCCAAACATAACATTGTACTTTTTTTTAATTGCCCATTAACCAGGAAACCCTTGTTTTTCCGCCTTTTTTGCCCCCTAATTCCTAAACGGTTTGAGCCATAACCCCCAAAGCCAATCCTAACCATCCCTTTGTGGTATGGAAACTTGTTGTATAATTTCAGAGAGATCCATACACCGTTCCACAAGTTATTGTCTGGAAACTAGAAAAATGCTTATTTGGGCCCCTTTTTGGCCCCTAATTCCTAAACTGTAGGGACTGTAACCCCCCAAATCAACCCCAACCTTCCAATTGTGGTTATAAACCTTGTGTTTAAATTTCATAGATTTCTATTTACATTTACTAAAGTTATTGTCCAGAAACCAAATGTCTTCGGACGACGCTGACGACGCTGACGACATGATACCAATATACGACCGCAAAATTTTTTGCTGTCGTATAAAAATGAAGGTTTAATGAGTCAAAATTTTTGTGAAATTATACAATAATATGTAATAAAAAGCCATAGATAATATTCTTGCTAACACAAATGTAAATAGAAAATAAAAAAGTTTGGAATACTGACTATTTCAATAGATTATATAACGGTTAAAGTGACGCCACCATATTTCAAACTTGATCTGTTTTTTGTGGTAATAAGCATTGTGTACAAATTTCATAACATTTGGTTGAGGCAAACTAAGTTAGAGAACGGAAACCAATTTTGGGATGTACGTATGTACGTACAGACGGACAAGGGTAAAACTTAATGCCCCCTCTGCTACGGTGGGGGCATAAAAATTCTACTGTTGATTTTTTTCTTGCAATTTTGATATAACATTCTTCAAGTAGTACATAGTCGATTGCAAAAGAAAAAAATAGTGGTCCATGTGCTCATTTTTTAGCTAGAAATAGAAATCCTAGTTTGTTAAATGTTGGAGGTCACATTTCCCTTCTTTGTGCTAAATTACATTGCAGTGTATTCTTAATGCAACATTTTGGTGCAGGCTTTTCCAGCTGTACCTCAAAACACAGTTCAAATAACTGTCATATACAAATTTATTGATAAACATAACAACTGTGACATCTACCTTCAAAACACACATGACTAAAAAGAAACTGTTAACACAGAGATATGTTTCGTCTATTTGTTATTTTGATAATGCAAATGTTGAAATTAAAATAGCAATACTTTAACAAGTAAAGTTATGGAAATATTCAAAGTCAATGAACCATGACTGAAGGTACAGGTCTAAACAATCTCCATGGAAATCTGCTGTGCCAATGCTAATACAACTGCATACCAAATACCATTGACTTATCATAAGTCGTTCCCTTTAAACAAACCTAAACACAAACATTAACTTGTAAACTATGCAAAAGTTTCAAAGTAAATGAACCATAATGAGGGGGTGGGGTTATATAATCTCCATGGAAATGAAACTTGCAAAAGCAAATACATTTGCATACCAAATATCAATGACTTAACATTAGTGGTTCATCTCAAACTGACCTAATCACAAACTAATACATGTAGACTAAGCAAAAGTTTCAAAGTCAATAGACCATGACTGAGGGGTAATGACCAAATATTCTCCATGGAAATGAGATATGCTAATGCTTTTACAACTGCATACCAATTATCATTGACCTACCACTAACGGTTCCCCTTAAACTGTCCTAATCACAAACTTATACATGTAAACTAAGCAAAGTTTCAAAGTCAATAGACCATGACTGAGGGGGTAGGGCCAAATAATCTCCATGGTAATGAGATTTGCCAATGCTAATACAACTGTATACCAAATATCATTGACTTACCACTAGTGGTTCACCATAAACTAGACCTAATCACAAAGTAATACATTGTTGACGCCACCGATGGAAACAGCATACCTATGTCTCGCTTTTTGACTCCGTCAAGACAGACAAAAATAGTTATAAAGAAATTTTGGA